TGTCCGTGTTTTCAGGTACAGTCATATGTTGTCTCCTCCCCAGACACTGAGAGCAAACACACACTGCACAGACTCAGCCTTGGAAATGACGTCTGAGACCTCACAGTGAGCAGTAAAGCTTTTTCTTCTGCTGGAGGCTGTTTCAAAGAAGAGGAATCTTTAGACCGAAAGAGAACAGCTGATCAAAACGAGCTGTGAGATCCGGTGTGGCTGGAAGGACGAGTGGGGCTGACTATGAGCGTCTTTTCCTCTTTGACTAAATTTAAAAATTTGGAAATTTTTGAGAGTTTTCCAAGTATTTTTCTGTGAGCTGTGCAGAAATGATGCAGAGGACAGACGAGGAAGTGAAAGCATGAAAAGAAGAGTAGACACACACTTTTACACCAGCTTTGTTTAAGGTTGTGTCACTCGTGGATTTCAGGGGCTTGTTCTGTTTCCAGGGTGGATAATGGCTTCAAAAAACAAGAATTAGGTGGACAAGATTTAATTTATGTTGGACTCTCTCTAATCCTCACAGTGCCAAAAGGCTCAAATGTATATACAAATACAAAATATATCCAAAGTCCACACCTTCGGGCTATAATGAAATTCGTGGCTTCCCACAGGGGCGAGCCAGTCGCCTTCTGGAGAAAAGTTTTATGGTCAGCTGAGACAAAGACCGAGCTGTTTGGCAACAATAACCAGTTTACGTTAGCAGGAGTAAAGGTGAGACTTTCAAACCTGAGGCGGTGGCGGTAGCATCGTGCTCTGGGCCTTTTTATTTTACTGCCAGTGGTGATGGTATGCTGCACAAAGTGGGAATAATGAAGGAGGACTTCATCACCAGTTTAAATGAACTCTAACCATTCTGCTAACAAGAGCGGTCAAATATTCAGCCAGAATTACGCCAGAAGCTTGTTGATGGTTTCCCAAAGCATCTGGTCGAGGTGCAACTTGCTACAGGACATTTAAGCTCATGTTAGTTTGGCTGTTTGTACATATTTGAGTCTGAAAAAAGTTCAATGAAATCATTACAAGCATAAAATTACAACAATGTTCATGCCCATGATGACTGGATGTGATCCTCTGACCACAGCGGCACATATGTTTTTATTGTGTTAGAAAATAAAAGCATGACATGATTTCTCAAGACCATGAAACCATGAACTGAAGCTCTATCAAGAGCTCACTATCCTGCAGCACCGGCTTCTAGAACCGTCCTTATAAAACAAAAACAGCATCGACTTTTAGGGATTTGCTTACCTGAAACCAAACATCTACATCTATCTGCATTTTGTTATATTTTTGCACCAAGATGCCTTTTCTTCTCTTAGAGAATGTAAAATAGCACCTGAAGAAGCTTTGGTGGACACATGGATCTACAATGCCAGAGGATTGTATAAAGAGGCTGGTAGATAACGTACCCAGAAGTCACTGCTGCACGTTTGTCTCATGAGGCCACCACACTCGTAAAAATAAAGCAATCTATACTTTTATTTCCAAAGCGTTGGCCAATCAGAACTGTTGGGCTTTATGACAGAAAACACTTTATGACTGAAAATGCAGCTCTATCATGCAGCCAGATGTTTTTCTCTGAATCCTGTCAGAAAGGAGAAGAAGTGGAACCAAAGGGGAACCGTGACTTCTTAGAACACACTGAGCCATGAACGTGGACGTCGGATATAAAGGGAGCAGCGAGCAGGTCGGAGCACATCAGCCCTGCACATTCCAACAGAAGAACATCTGTCTGTGTCGGGAACCATGAAGACTCTGCTGGCTCTCACAGTCCTGACGCTCATCTGCTTCCTGAAGCACAGCTCTGCCAGTGAGTACCGCTGACCTCTGAGCACCGTGAGTCTGAGCTGCACTCATATTAACTCTGTGTGTGTGTCCACAGTGCCAGTCGCTATAGAAATGGTGATAAACGGTGTCGAATGCTGCGAGGCCGTCACTAATAAAATCCACATACCAGTGACAAAGGTGAAGCATGTGATGAAGAGCAGCTGCAACCTTGAAGCGATCATGTGAGTATCCTCAGGAGGTCAGGAGTGTTATTATCCCGACTGTTTTTGTTCAGTTTTGTAGCAGCTTAAATTCTCACTGTGACCACCTGACTTTGAAATTCTGTTAAATATTTCTCATCCAGCAAACTGTGAGCTGTGACAAAATAATTAATGTTCTTGCTGTAAAACGGTTTTATGAAATAGGGGTGAACCAATCTATGTCATGTAGATTTCTAATTATAAGTGTTAATACGTTTTCCTGTTGCCACATGTTAAATGCAGCCATTACAACAACAGCATGGTCCGTGAGCTCAGGACTGTAAACTGTAAAACAATAATAATAATGTTGAGGAGAAAATTAGGTGAAGCTAAGTAAATGCAGTGAAATCTGCCTCCAAAAAGATGTTTTTAGCTCTCGGGTCCTGTTCGGATCAGCTTCACTGATCTGTCAGGATCAACTGCCATAAATGAAAACTCAAGTCTTTGCTCTCGTTCGGAGTCACGATTGATCTGAATCAGTTCGACAATAAAGAAGTGCGATTTCTATCAGTGGCTTCTGGTAATGACTAAATGAAATGTTTATTACTTCTAATCAAGTCTTTGCGACGTATATTCCAGTTTCTTCCCGACAGTGAAACTGCACGTGTGTGTTTAAAGTGTGTATCATGTGTTTCTTGCAGAGTCACCACTGTGGCTCGGAGGAAGTTCTGCCTTGATGCTAAATGGAAACATGCACAGATGCATCTGGAAGAATTCAAGAAAAAATCCTCAGCCCGGAAACCCTGAGAGTGATGAAGGAGATCTAAAAACAACAGAAAGTAGTTCCTCTGTGCTTCTGTGCACAAACTGACGTTTGTTTGATTGTGTTTGACTTAAAGCTGGGCGATAGAACGATAACGATATGTATTGCGAAATAACTTTTTCTCGTTAGGAAAATCAAACTGTTGCGATCTGAAAAAGTCTCATGTTCCTTAAGTACATCTACCCTGTTGAACTTATTATGGGAAATAAATATTTAAATAAAAACAAGCTGCTGATTATTTCACATTTTACTTGTGAGCAACGGCACATTTAAATCTTACAAATATAGTTATTTGGCTTATATCGTGATAGATATCGTTATCGCCTGAAATGAAAAAAACATATCGTGATATGAAAAAATCTCATATCGCCCAGCTCTAGTTTGACTGTTTGATTGTGTTTGATTGTGTCTGACTGTGTTTTTGTGAGAACACGGTGTACGTGTATGTTTTGATCTGCTGCAGAACTTTGTGTGTGGTCGACTGTGATCACACAGAAACGTTTTCAGTTTAAACCTTTGAAAGTTTATTTTTCTCTGATGTCTTGAGCTAAACCAAGTAGTGCGACTGAACTCGTGTCATTGTATTTAAAAGGCTTGATAATTAATGCTTCACCTTAACTTAAAGTATTTTTAAAAGTGCTTTTTTTAAAATAAAACTTTAAAATACTTTTAAAGTACTAAAGAAGGGAATTAGATTTGACATCACTCCATAGTCTCGACTCTTCGCTGCTTTCAGCTTATTTAAGCCATTGTGCAGAAGTCTGGGGCAGTAACTATAAACTACAGTGTCCATCATTTTCAGTGTTATTCATACTAACTCATTGTTCTTAAAATGCTGAGGTTTGCAGATCTAATTGAAATAAAAGTATAACAGAAAGAGTCAGAGCATGTGTTTTTGTTGTGGAGCACTGCACAGACATGAAGCACTTCAAAAAAGAGGCATAAAGATCATAATGAGATCATAAAAATGGTGAATATTAGCGAACGTCTCGGTTTAGTTAGCGACCACTTTGTCCGTATTCACATTGTACAGCAAACGTTCCAACACTGGAGTATTTATTCAGCTTCGATGTGTGCAGGCTGCAAAAACAGGATGATAATAATTTGTATTTTACGTAGAGGCTTATTAGAAAAATGTTCTTATTGAGGTTCATATCAGTAAGGAAGCTGGATAAATGTCAACTGATAATTTTTGGAGAAGAGGTGGAATCAGATCAGCGTGCACGTCCTCCCACTCCTTCTCGAGGGCAAGCCAATCAGAACAGCTGGAGTGAATTTGATTTATTTTTCTCAATGAGCTTTCTTTGTATTGTTTACATGGTCAAAATAAATTAAAGAGAACAAACCAAAAAACTAAAAAATAAAAGTCATCATGCTCAGTGAAATGATCATAGAGGGACCAATGAAATATGATTTTACTGTTACAGTGAAGCTTGGAGAAAATCCACTTGGAAAATCATTGATTGTCCTTCTATATAATAACAACGTTGTTATTGCCCAAAATCCAAACAATGAAGAACTGAAGCAGCAGATGAATGAGCTGGAAATGTAAGTGTCCTGTGTGGGTGCAATAATAAGTCAAATTAAACATATTCTGCCTCGCTGAGATCATTTGTCCTCACTTGTCCACATAATTTTGTCCAGTTGGTGGCGATGTCTGCTTATCTTAGTCTGCCGGGCAGTAACACAAGTTCCCAACAATCCCTGAATGAGGCGCAGCTCTGCAGTAAAAATACTCCAATCCCAAAATACTCCTTGTACTGGAGTATTTTGGGATTTGGACTGGAGACGTATTTTCCCAGTCATCCTGTGCCTCCTCTCTGAACTCTGAGCAACATTTGTCCTTCTGTAACTTCCACCACTTAATCCTTGCCTCTGCCTTCGCTTGCTTCTTCCTTAAAGCCATCCTACAGACTACCATCTGACACCGCCTTGCACCTTCTACACCCATTTCCATGTTTCACAGAAGATGCTGCACATCAGGATTTCTCTCCTTAATGCTATAACCACCCAACACCTCTGCACCACCTTTGTTCCCTACATGTCCACTGCAGTCGTTACATTTAGTCTGTGCTCTTCCACATTCCTTACATTTATCCCTGTCATGACGGAAGGACGGGAAGCATGAAGATGACAGATCATCATGACAGATTAAGGAAACTGCTGTATGTAGACACTTGTGAGGACTTACAGAAAAGACACAAAAGGACAAATCATAGAAACAAATTCATTTATTGGCAGTAAAATAGTTACACAATGTTCTTTTAAGGAGATGTTGAACCGTTTTGAGGTGAAACGATCAGCCGCACAGGAGTCAGGGAGGATTTCACAAGTGTAAATGAAATAAACGCGGCTTCATGTCAGCGCACACCCGGTTCGCTTCTAAACTCTCCTGAAATTATAACGTAAAGATTACAGAAATAAAAACAAAGCTTTGACGGTACATTTATAACACAAATTACAACAAAAAGTCAGTCCTTGTGCTTCTTTGCCAGGGCACTCTCGTAAAAGAAATTTTAATCTCAAGAGTTTTATTTTTCCTGGTTAAATAAATAAAAATACAATTTTAAAGTTCACAGGTGTCTTTATATCAGGGGTGTCAAACAGGAGGCTCGGGGCCCAGCAAAGACTAATTCGGCCGGTGGAACAAGTGAAGGAAGGCATACATTTTGCCCTTTTAACTGTATTTCCGTAAGTTTGCAGCTTTTCTTACTGATAAAGACGTCCACCATCCACATTCATACTATAACACAGAAATAAAATAACAGAAAATCAGTTTGAGGGCAGAAAATTTCTTTTTTCAATAATGAGACTACAGTAAAAGTTTTCTGTGAATTAACAAAAACTTGGTGTTTTATAAGTACAGTGTGAGGAATGAGCTCTCTGAACATTTAAGCCCAAAGAGTCAGGCTGGCAGGTTTCTTTCTTTCCTGCAGCTGCTTTTATTTATCACGTAGAAAAACTGAGCTGTACTGTGCAGACTGCCCTTCTTGGTCTCATATGAACACATGTCAGGGATTAAATATGTACTTAAGCTTCTTTACGCTGACAGAAAGGCCACTTTCACTGGTCCGGGCCTTTTAACACAGGGTGGGCTGTATGTGGCCACAATGCAAACTGAGTCTGACACCCCTGCTTTACACCTTTATCCAGCAGAAACTGACAGTTTGACAAAAACAGCTTTAAAAATCTCTTCAAAGGGATTAAATCTGCATCATTACCTCACATGAAAATACAAATAAATAAAAACATGAACAATATCTCAAAGAAATATAGTGAAACTAAAACATTTCTTCACATTCATTCTCCTCTCTTCATTACTTTTTAGTCTCTTTAAAGCTAATTCATGTGCAGCTTCTTCATATTGTGCATGTGCCCAATACTGTCCTGTTTTGCATAGTTTAACATTTGATTCCTTCACAGCTTGAGGGGGTCGGACCGCTCTCACATCGCTCTGCTAAATGTGGAGCCATGAAGCTGTTTGCTAAGCTGAGCAGAAAAAGGTGCGTCTCTGTAAAGGCTCACAGCGTTTCTGCCAGGATCCAAACCAAGTCAGCTTTAGAGGATTTTCAGCCACTTGTTCCGAGCTCGAGCATCCTGACTTTTACTCTGCTGCAGGTCAGAGACCTCACCAGCTTTTTACTGCTCTGCATCCATCTGACAACAACATTAGTCACATTAAAAACATATTTATTTGAAGTCCCGACAGTAATTATGGACTCTTCCTTAGTAAACTCAGTGCATTTACATGATGCTGTTACTGACCGTGAAACAGTCGATCAGCTGACTGTCTCTCTGCTTCTTCTTTGGTAAATGAAACATACTAAAATCTTTCCTTGGACTCATCGTTGCATTAAAACTCGAGGCTTCGTGCTCAGCTAAGCTAACGTCTCCTGGCCTCAAATTTGCCCAAATGTTGAACTATTCATCTTCTGTTCACGCTTCCAGCCGCTCTGGCATAAAGTGAAGCTACAGCGGCACTCTGCTTTAGTGGCATTTCACATTAATCTGCATGTGCAAACTACTCAAAAAATACAATAAAATACAACAAAATAAATACTAAAGTGTGAAAGCACATCCTCGTGTCTTTGGTGAAGTCTCTGTGCTTCAGAGGTTAAACCTGCAGGTCTCACAGTTTTAACCGTGTGAGGAAAAAGAGACTTTTTAATTTTAAAAAAACATGGGAAGAAATCTCACTTTCTTTGGAGTTTCTGGTCTGTTGGTTGGACGTTTACTGAAAGGTGGAAACAAGCTGCTTTCAGACGAGTTATTCCAAGAAATAATCAAAAAACCTGACTGACTGCAGTCCTGCCTGATTTAAGTCACTCATTAAACTCTACAGAGCAGACTGACGCTCGGACGGATGATGGATCCGTCTTCATCACAACTCAGTTTTAAACAAAAAGAAATCACCACCAGTTTTCACTTGCAAGTAACGTCTGAATGACGAAGGAAAGTTACAGGTAGTTGGAGATAAAGTGCTATATTAAATAAGCTTGATATGTATTTGCACAAAGCAGCGCAGCAGCTGTAATAGTTTTCTGTCACACAGCAAAGGTCTGAGGCTCTTTGAGGACGTGAAGCCTCTGAGTCTGTCTGCGCTTTAGTGTTGGTGCTGTTTATGATTAAGACTCCAGAATGACCGATCACGGTTAGTTTCTCTCAACTATCCAGACCAAAACGGGCCTGGATAGTTGCTGACATATTGTGGTGTGGACTGGCAGCTTCAGGACAGAAAATCTTCTACTACTACTTACAGAAAACATTTTCACATGCAGGCAGAAAGCTGTGATAAATATTCTTATAGTGTAAGTGAAGGTGCTGCACAGCTATAAATGGCCTTCAGTGTGAGTAAAGCTTAGTTTCTCAGATCACTTAGTAATTTTGGGCCTTACACAAGTGCAGCCCACCGGGACTTCGATACGCATCTTCTGGACTCGATATGTGTCTGCGTCCTTACACTTGGTCTTCATCAGGACCACCATCGGAGCCCGAACCTCCACAGAGTTGTAGTCGTTCACCTCGCGCCCGTCGATGATGCATCCCTTACAAAGGCACTCGGCAAAGATGATGTCACGTGGATACCTGCTGTCGTTTCGGTCTATGCTGGAGACACAGACAGACAGAAAAGACCTCAACACGTGCAGGAGACAGTGAACACACAGCAGATTCAGTCAGGACAATACGCGGCTTCTCAAATCAAAGCTCGTTTAATATTAAAGCTGGTAGCTTTCATCTGCTCGCTGGTTCCAGGTTGAACTTCCTGAACCAGCTCAGCAGCCGTCCATCCATTTCTACTCCGCAATAATCCAGCCTGCTCTCTGCACATCCAAACTTTGGATCAGCCACCACCAGAGATGGGCAGTAACGCGTTACTGTAATCTGATTACTTTTTTCAAGTAACTTGACCAACACTGGCCACCACACAGGACGAGAACAGAATACACCGGAAAGTCAGGACTGCACAGAAAGTCACTGCTGCTGCTGACGTGTCCTCCATTCAGGGCTTGTACAAATCTAGAATCAGGAAACAGGCAGGCAACACCACTGCAGACCATCACAGCATGGACCCAACCTGTTCCCACTCCTGCCCTCTAGTAGGCGCTACAGAGCACTGTACGCCAACAGACATCTGTGCAGCTTCCTCCACAGGCCGTCACTCTGATGAAATCTTACTTACTGTCAAAAACATCCACCATACCTGCTGCTGAACCAAAGCATGATGTATATACTCTCAAATGCATCTACATCTCAGCTACAGTCACATTTTCTGGTAACACTGCACCCAGCAATGACATCTGTAGTTAACCTTAAACACTGATTAGAATTAGTTTTTTTAGTCTGCAGCTGACACCTGCAACACACCTGTGTGCTACATGAACACAGACCTGTTTTGTCACATTCTAGTTCACTGAACTCTTACTTCACTAAGCTGCCATCTCATTTTGTTATTTATTTTTTTACCGTTTCTTGATAACATATACATTTTCCAAATCCTCCATATATAAATATATGCAGTAAATTATTATTTTTTTATGCTAGTAAAACAGGGCTGTGAGGAGCCTACTTCATGTACATTTGGCTGCAAGTATTTGTTTACAGCACTTGAGTTAATGATAGTGGTGTATGAATCAGGAATTAGTATTAATCTAAAATAACACTTTTAACTCACTGGTGTGCTACATGCAGGTTTATTGCGGACAAAAGTTAAATACTTTTTACTGTACTTTGAATGAATGACTTAATGTGAGCAACAAAACGGTAAAAATTCTGCTTTTAACATAATTATTTACTTTAACTATGTAATTCATTAACCACAGAGCAGCACATGCCATCTAATGAGATAACGTTCATTTATCCACAAAGCTGAGTGACTCCTTTGGTTTTGTTAAATACAGGGGAAAAAAGATGTGAGCTACATATACATATAACCTTACATATGCACACAGAGAGGCAGATATACAGGCATCTGCCAGCTTATTACTAGTATTATTAACACAACATCGTTTCAAATGTACTCAAATAATTTTACAAATATGATCTACACAAATGATTTCTCATTTCCACCATCATCTAAACTGGCTTCAATAAGTAGAATGGTAAAAAAAAAAATCATTAAAATAACATTTTAAACAACTTTTAATAATTTTAAATAAATTACATTTAAAATCAAGTAAAAGTGTGTCGAACCTGCTCCCCAAAGCGCGCTTTAAATGCTGACGATGAGGCAAAGAACAGGTTTGTTTGTTTGTCTGAGCATTTTTGTCCCTCTGCGGGTTCCATACTTACTAGTAATGCCACGGAGACAGCGCGCGGCCGTTGAGCTCGTGCATTTGCTGGGCAGCCTGTTCGCAGGTGTGTTCGCAGGTAGTCAGATTCTGGTCCTCGCGGGCGTCGCGCTGAAGGCCGAGCTTCTTCAGGTTCACGTCAAACTTTCGCTCGCGGGCCTCCACCTTCTCGGCGCTGAGACACGTGGAGTTGGAGGCGGCGGCGCAGAGCTCGTGGAGGATCAGCAGAGAGATCTGCAAAGTGGCAGAAACACGCGTGAGAGTCAGAGAGAGCTGTCCGCGAGCCCGGGGCGCTAATGTGATGTGATTTACCAACTGCAGGAAGCTCGCGACCATCTTGACTTCGGACGGCTGAGACTGGCGGACGCTCCATTGAAGCTGCTTTAAATACACAAGCGGAGCTCCTACGGTTGCCTGGTTGCCATGGGGATCTCCTCAAAATCAACATTTCCGCATGAGAAACAGTTCGCTGCGGCCCCGCCCCTCTGCTGGCTGTGCGCTGTGTTTGTGACCGGTCAAAAAACGTCCTAACCAATGTTTCTACGCTGACGCGGCGCATGCGCATAACACCGAACCCAAATTAACTTTTTCTCTCTGGAATACTTCTTAAGGTTATGGGTAGGGTTAGTCACAAGTCACCGTCAAATTATAATACGAGTAGGACGATTTGTCAGAGTAGGATGGTTTCTCAGAACACCGCGAGCAGACAGCCTCGTACCTCTAATAAACTCCGCCGTGAGCTCTTTTTAAACATTTCACACGTTTCATTGTTGGTTTGTTTTTTTTAAAGGTAGAGACAGATGTTTATGTTTTACAGAAAAAGGTTTATCGTCTGAAACGTGAATATTGTCAGGTTTTCTGCAACTGCTGCTGTTCTGATCCTCAACAGTACATCTCAGGGTTTACACATCAGAGTCACAAAAGCTTCTGTCGGCTTCTTTTTCTGAGAGAAGAAGAACTCAAATGAAAAGTTTTCAAAATGTCAACACAGCGCCATGAAACACTGTATTGTATGTATTTAAAAATAAAACGAGGTCATTCCTGACTCTTCACATGGAAAAAAATCCTCTTGGGGTCACCCTGCTCCTGTGAAGTCACTCATCGCTCATATTTTTCTGTAGAAAAATGTGGGAACTTTGTCACGTGGACTGTCAGCATCAGGAACAGCAGGCTACAGAAAAGTGGGAGCGATGAGTTACTTTACAGCAGCGGGGTGACTCATGATGTGTGTTCTCACAATGTGAGTATTTGCATGAATCAGATTGTGATCTTATCTTAATTCACAGTTTTTAGCCGGTGAGCTCTCTGTGGTCTCAGCTCTATTTTTTGTGCATGATGACATGATATGACATCAGTTCTCAGGCACTGAGTTCATCCCTGTAAATCTTCCCACCCCGGCCCATCCTCCTACTGGACCATCAGCAGGAATATGGAGCCCTCGCAGCTCCCTCATACTTTAATAACAGCACTTGTGTGTGGCACACCCTGTGGTTACCCTATCACTCCACAGATGTGTCCTGGTGATGCAATGACACACTCGAGCTGACTCAAGTGTCAGACTACATTCACTTCCTGCTGCTGGAGTGAGGTTCTGAGGTCAGCAGAAGTCGAAGGAGGAAATAAACACAAAACATTTAGTGTTTGTTTTTAAATACATTTTAAATATTTATTTTGGAGGGTTGATGAATTTGAAGTCATGTGGAGCAGGATGAGGAAAACTGAAGCAACAAAGGCGAGCCTTTATTTCATCTGATGAAACCTCCATAAAGGTCAGCAGAGTGAACGCCATCCAAAGCTGGTTAGGAGCATGCAGAGACGATTAAAAATGCAGAGACATTAAGCTGACAAGTTAAAACAGGAAGTGAGAGGCAGTAACTAAGCAGGAAAATACAGACACATGAATTACTTTCACTCGGGGAGTTTGTGAGGAAAGGCATAAACTCTTAATACAAAGGAACTAACCTAAAAATGAAGGACTCAGCCGCTGTAGTAATTTTGATATGACAAATGTAGGAAGTATGATCACGCACAGGAAGCGGGGCTACGTACCGGTTCCTCCTGCTGCCCCTCCCCTTGGCCCAGTGAGGAAAACCCTAAGATCGTGACAGCTCAGAATAACTCACGAGAATGTGCTGCGTTCAGGCTGAGAGAAGCCGGGCTGATAACCTGCAGGGCCCCTGCCTCATCACGTAGGTCATATAGCCTTCATATACTTCCTGCAAGTGCTTAGCCAAGTGAAACATGTGCTGCTAAAATACAGAGCTGTTTTTAACTTCTTACCTTTTAAAAATGCATCTCAAACGCAAACTGTAGGCACGTATCATAGGCCACATTCTTCGGAGGCCGCATTTGTAGACCGCCTTTTGCTAACTTTGTTTGTATTTTGTCTTTTTAATCTGTTATATCTTGTAAAGCACTTTGTGATCTCTATCTAGAAATGTGCTATATAAATAAAATTTTACTTACTTACTTACTTACTTACCGATTACATCACAGCCAGGTGAGGAAGGCTGTCCTGATTCGAAGGCTGCTCCAAATGCAGCCGACAAATGCGCCCTTCTTTTCCCCGGATTTGAAGGATGGCTCGGGTGTATCCTTCATGGCCCAACCTATCCCAGAATTCATAGCGCTGCCCAGCCGATTCCTGTTTCCAACAATGGCGGCAGCTACTTAGTTATAATTTTACTTAAACTATAATTTTGCTCTTATTACTCTTTCTGTGTTACACAAGAATGTAGCTGTAGAAACTTCAAATATCTGCTCGGTTTATCAAGACATCGCATATTTGCAAAAGTGCTCCAACGTTTTTGGAGACGTCTGTTACCCACCAGCTCGATAGCTGACCGGGGCGAACAGCTGACCGGGGCGAGAACAGCGAACTCCCCCCACATCATTTTCAAACCCCCCGCAGTCTTTCACTACTCAGGTTAAACATGATATATAAGTCACTTAGATAACTTCGAAGGACCCGGCCCACATAGACCGCGAAGGCCAGGTCCTCAGGAGGATGCGGCCTATGAATTGGGACATAGCTTGTGCCTCTGCGGCGCAGCTAGCATGGGGATAACTTTCATAACTACTGTGAGGCTCCACGATCCACCGCTGCAGTACAACGTAGTCCATTAGAGTGAACTGAGATGATGCGACGCTTCCATTCAGCAGCTCTGAACTCCCGCTGTTACTCGGTAACCATGGATACCACAGAGCGGCCTAAACGTGTGCAGCTCGAGTGTGCTGTTTGTCCAGGACTCTCTGAAAATCTCTAATTAAGACTTTGTTCACTCACATGCAGAACATTACACACACCAAGTCATTGTGCAATGCATGAATTTTGAGTGTCGCCTCAGATCACACACAGCAAACAAAGACTGCAGGGTTTGGCTGTGCTGGGTGCGCTCACTGCCCCTCACCCCTGAAACTGTAAGTACATGGTAGACTGTAGACAACCTGATGGACACGTGTGACTGACAGTTTGTTGGCTATCCTGGTTTACTGGCCTTTTAAATTAATGCAGCTTGTGGAGTGAGCTAACTGGAGTTAGCTGGTAACTTAGCACGCCAGCCTGTCATCCAAATGTGGTCACTTCTGGCTTTGAAAGTCTAAGGTGGCAGCAGCCACACTGCTAATGTTCATGTGTCTGACTGCAGAGTCCAAAATCAGTTGTTGACTAAAGATGGTGCCTAATTCCATCCTTTACATACATGCTGTGTCCAAATTCAGCATGAGGACCTGGCCTTCGCGGTCTACGTAGGCCGGGTCCTTCGAAGATAGAGAAAGCCGTAAGTGTGAGGCTGTGAAATGGGACGGTCTGGCCTTCAGCGTCACCGCTGTCTCTGTAGAGTTTAATAAACTCGACCATCTCACACTTCTGTTTAATCAGTTTTTTGTTTGACGTTTATGAAAACTAGAACTTTAATCTCAGCCAAACCGATTTACTCAGGAACAAATAAAGCACTGAAAAAAGCCAAACAATAACATGTTTAAGTTATCTAAGTGACTTATGTATCATGTTTAACCTGAGTAGCAAAAGACCGCGAGGGTCTGAAAACAATGTGCCGGGAGTTCGGTGTTCTCGTCGGCTCTAGTGAGCCTTGACCTCATGGTCCGCTCCAAGCTGGTGGGTAACAGACGTCTCAAATATGCGATGTCTTGATAAACCGAGCTGATATTTGAAGTTTACACAGCTACATTCTCGCCTGAAATTATCTTAAAACTTTATTTTGTGACCCAGAAAGAGAAATAAGAGTAATATTAAAATTAAATAGCTGCCGCCAATGTTGGAAGCTGGAATTGGCTGGGCCGCGCTATGAATTATGGGATATGGTGGGCTACGAAGGATACACCCGAGCCATCCTTCAAATCTGGGGAAAAGGAGGACACATTTGTTGGAGTCTTCGAATTTGAACAGCCTTCGTCCCATCGCTGTGACGTAGTCGGTCTACAAATGCAGCCTCTGAAGGATGCAGCCTATGAATTGGGACACGGCTACATTCTGTGGCAATTGTCCACAGGCTCAGCACCAACGTTTCAGTCAGTTTTTTCTCTAATGTTTAGGTCTGTGTGACGTCAGCTCTGTCACACCAGGATAAGAGCGAGTTATTCACTTCCCACCTGTGCATTTGCTTCTGGAAGCTTTTCTGAAGCCCTCAGTGCAGAGAGAGGGAAGCTTGTTTGGTACCTGTGGGGTAAAATTCAGGGCAAACAAAGCTCGCAATCTTTCAGCTTAAAATGTCTTTAAGATCCTTCTGGGATTCTTTATTAAGGTAAACGTTCAGGGTACGGGCCTTCAGCTGAATGATTCAAAGTGAAACTGTAACAGTGCTTTTACAAGTTACTGATTAAATCCAGCCTCTGTTATCACAATAAGTCTTATGCTAGAGTTTCCTTGTTTACTCTGTGTGGAGTTTATGCTCTTTGTGTCTTTGACGGTGCTTTTTGGCACAGAAACCAGTGAGGTGATGCAATGCCGCTGCAGTCTCCTCCCTCTCGCTATAAAGCCTTGCTGCCTGTATTTAGAAGCAGCGCTCGCCTGCCAGATCAGCCTGTGAGACGTCCTAACTTTACGTTTAAAATGAACTTGAAACGAGTTTGTTTGTGCCGTCGTGTTAAGATTCTAAAAGTCTTAAATCTTAAAAAACACAGGCAGTAGCTAATAGTTCACCTCAGCCTGCTGCTAAAGCTTGATGCCTTCACACAAAACCAGTCTAACAATTAACAATTACGCTGAATTAAAAAACAAACAATTTCAGCAGCTTCCTCCACTGATTCTATAAATAACTTGTGTGTCAAACCTGTTCATTGCATCACTGTCCCACAGAGGAAAGAGGATATGTGTCTGATTAGAATTAAAAGGCCGATTCTTCCTGCTTCTTTGAACCCTTTCACTCCCATTGACCGACTTCCTCTCTGCGAGTGACAAGGAAACCAGGGCATGCAATACGGGTTTTCCACACTCACATCATCGTTCGGGCACCTGCAATGATTCAGGATGACGGATTCTCACTGTCATTGTTTTGGGTTTTGAATCTAATCCTCAGATTTTTTTAAATATTCCTTTCAGTTGTTTTCGCAGCTAACATGTCAGAAATGTTGTAATCTCACACTCAGCAGTCCTGCACGTGTACGGCGTTTACACACAGAGACCAACATGAAGCCTTCTGTCTGTCGGTGGGACGTCAGTGCCTCGGAAACCTGACGAGTTTTTATTATAGTGTCATTTTAGTCGGTGTATTTGGCAGCAAGTCTGCAGCTCCTTTGGACTTTTTCATATGTTATCTGTGGCGACCTCGTAAATCCTGATCTGTCTCATGAAAATCATCCTTTGTACATGAAACTCATAGAAAATGCACAAAAAATGAAGAATGCATTTTTTTGTTACCGTGCACACATATATGGAACATAAGTATAACCTTTAAACATTTACAGTGGGGCAAAAAAGTATTTAGTCAGCCACCGATTGTGCAAGTTCCCCCACCTAAAATGATGACAGAGGTCAGTAATTTGCACCAGAGGTACACTTCAACTGTGAGAGACAGAATGTGGAAAAAAAATCCATGAATCCACATGGTAGGATTTGTAAAGAATTTATTGGTAAATCAGGGTGGAAAATAAGTATTTGGTCAATAACAAAAATACAACTCAATACTTTGTAACATAACCTTTGTTGGCAATAACAGAGGTCAAACGTTTACTATAGGTCTTTACCAGGTTTGCACACACAGTAGCTGGTATTTTGGCCCATTCCTCCATGCAGATCTTCTCGAGAGCAGTGATGTTTTGGGGCTGTCGCCGAGCAACACGGACTTTCAACTCCCGCCACAGATTTTCTATGGGGTTGAGGTCTGGAGACTGGCTAGGCCACTCCGGGACTTTCAAATGCTTCTTACGGAGCCACTCCTTTGTTGCCCGGGCGGTGTGTTTTGGATCATTGTCATGTTGGAAGACCCAGCCTCGCTTCATCTTCAAAGTTCTCACTGATGGAAGGAGGTTTTGGCTCAAAATCTCACGATACATGGCCCCATTCATTCTGTCCTTAACACGGATCAGTCGTCCTGTCCCCTTGGCAGAAAAACAGCCCCATAGCATGATGTTTCCACCCCAATGCTTCACAGTAGGTATGGTGTTCTTGGGATGCAACTCAGTATTCTCCTTCCTCCAAACACGACGAGTTGAGTTTATACCAAAAAGTTCTACTTTGGTTTCATCTGACCACATGACATTCTCCCAATCCTCTGCTGTATCATCCATGTGCTCTCTGGCAAACTTCAGACGGGCCTGGACATGCACTGGCTTCAGCAGCGGAACACGTCTGGCACTGTGGGATTTGATTCCTGCCGTTGTAGTGTGTTACTGATGGTGACCTTTGTTACTTTGGTCCCAGCTCTCTGCAGGTCATTCACCAGGTCCCCCCGTGTGGTTCTGGGATCTTTGCTCACCGTTCTCATGATCATTTTGACCCCACGGGATGAGATCTTGCGTGGAGCCCCAGATCGAGGGAGATTATCAGTGGGCTTGTATGTCTTCCATTTTCTGATGATTGCTCCCACAGTTGATTTGTTCACACCAAGCTGCTTGCCTATTGTAGATTCACTCTTCCCAGTCTGGTGCAGGTCTACAATACTTTTCCTGGTGTCCTTCGAAAGCTCTTTGGTCTTGGCCATGGCGGAGTTTGGAGTCTGACTGTTTGAGGCTGTGGACAGGTGTCTTTTATACAGATGATGAGTTCAAACAGGTGCCATTCATACAGGTAACGAGTGGGGGACAGAAAAGCTTCTTACAGAAGACGTTACAGGTCTGTGAGAGCCAGAGATTTTCCTTGTTTGAGGTGACCAAATACTTATTT